ATCTTAATAAGTTTTTTTTATTAATTTTGTAATTTGGTGGTTTTATTGTATTTGTATTTTGCTAAGCTTTGTTAATTATTTTGTTATGTTTCGATTATTTTCTTTTGATTTTTATTTTGTAACTTTATTTCGATTTTGGGTTGATGACGAGACCTCCATAAGTTGTTATCGGTCAAATTATTGATAGATAATAATTTATCCGAGACCACCCTCTTTTTCACTTCTTATTTTCTTTCTCATTCTCGACTTTATTACATTCCTCGAATCAATGAAGTCTTTGATTCACGAACGTTAGTTTTTGAGGTTGTCAAACCTTCATTATTTCAAATCTGCAGAAAATGACCATTCAGATCATTTTTCTATACTTTGGGATCTTGAGAGGTTCCCTTCGATTAATTAACATAAAATTTGCGATTAAGACGAGATTTAATCGTATTTTTAAATTTTATATCGATTTTATTTTATTTTATCGGTCAATGAAGTCTTTACATTCATAAACGTCGACTTATCGAAGTCGATAATCTTCATTATTTCAAATCTGTAGAAAATGATCAATTTGATCATTTTTCTATACTTTGGGATCGTGAGAGGTTACCTTCGATTAATCGACACGAGTTTATGATTAAGACGAGATCCCACTCCTTTTGACCTATTTCATTCAATCAATCATTAACCCTTGATGTAATTTCTGTTATTATATCACTGTTTTTATATTTTTGCACATATTCTTTGATTATATTATTGTTGATATTATCTTGTTTATTATCTTGCTCATTTTATCATCATTATTCATATTCATCCTATCATATTGTTCATATCTTGTTCATCTAACTCTTTTCCTTGTTTATTTCATTCAAAAAACCAAAAATACGATAAGACTATCGAAACCCTAAAAATCCTAACTTGGTGAACTGTTGATCATTATCTTGGGTATTGAGGTTTAAACCCTGTACATAAATCCTAATCTGTTTGTTTTGTCTGAATCCGTTTTCATTGTTTAGTTTAGGACACCTCGCACACACACGGCTTTCTCTTGGGCTACCTGACAATGAGACCATTTATTTATCGCAATCTCCTGTATCTTATATGTATCCCTCTCCCGTTACAGTGTAATAGCTTAGTTATTTTCATGCATGCTTGCTACTTGTTAAGAAAGATAAAAATGAACTAGGTTAGAACACGTTTTCCAAATAAAGAACAAATGAGGCTTGATTAAACGTCAAGTCATTTTCAAACTCCTTTCAAATTGGATCACCTTAGGGTTTCTCCTTCTCATTTCACCCCTTTTCCCTCAAACCACTAACTTTGTATGTATTTAACCCTTGTAAGTCGATTGCTTCGCGCATTGCCATCAACCTACCATGCTCTAGCCACCACCCCCTCTTTTCAAAACTTATTTTTTAACTTTTCTCTATTAAGTCTAAAAACATTGGTCTCGTACCAAGTGCATTTTCAAAACTCTTTTCCCAATAAACTTGGATGGTTGTGGAGTGGTTAGGCGAAATCTTTGTCCTATCCCGAGTGCTTGACATTACCTTTAGGGTTCACTGTCGTAAAACACTTACTATTCAAGGTCAAAACATCTTTAATAAGAGAATGAAGTTCTCTTTGTATTGAACTAAAGAGAGAGGATTGAGTGCATACTTCTTCCTCTCCGGGTGTCAGGATACTCACTTTAGAGTGTGTGGTCTCGATACTCATCTTTCAATAAGAAGACGTGACTATATTCGCCACACCATTTTCACAATAAATCTCTTGAGATAAGGAATTGCGTACTACCCGCAAGGGGTTACTATCCGAGGACCTATATCACCCTTAAAAATAACTTTTGCAAATCAAATGTGATATCTTGCCTCGATGGCGAAAACTATATCTTTTCAAAAAGGATATGTTACGTCCGTTCTACCGCAAACAGGTAATGCCTAAGACTCCACTAGCGAGCTGCAATACACCTAACTGTTGGAATGCATGTGTTAGCATCATCCACAAAACACCAGTTAACCGTAGGCCGAACTACGGCTGCTCTGATTCTTCATTTCTTTTAAATGAAGATACGTAGGCACAAGGGCCCCAATCCTTACCGAGCACTCTTCCATCTTTTTATCCGTAGTTTTTCGAACTATGTTGACTCTGACTTTCTCATACCCGTTGAGAATACATAGGCATAGGACCGCGAGGTCCTACCGAGTCTCTTTTCCCCCTTTCACCTTTTCTCTTCCTTGTCTCCAACTTTTTTCTCCCCCCCCCCCTTAGAACACTCTTTATAGCATTAATCTTTAGCAGATATCTTCACACATAGACAAACAAATGGTTTCCATCGAGTACGATGGATGCAAGGGGTGCTAATACCTTCCCTTCGTATAACCGGCTTTTGAACCCTTTCTCTTGGTTGCGAGACCATCTTATCCGTTTCATCTTAGGGTTTTCTCTATGTTATCCCTTCCCTTTACGGGATAAATAAAGTTCGATGGCGACTCTTCTGTCCTTCCTTTTTCGCCTCTCCGTCGTTGCATTTTCGAGTAGCGACAGTTATCAACTACTATGTCCTATAGATCAACATCGTGACCTAGAAAGAAGCTTTCTATTATGTCCTTCCAATAATCAAATCTGTCTCCATAAAAAACAAGAGGTTTATCATTGTAGTGATCTCTATCATTTGTTTGAATAACTGGAGGTGGAATGGAAGCCATTGTGTTTTACATTGGATCTTTATCTGACACTGTTAGGTGTTTGATAATCTTATCAAGACCAGAAATGGATCTCTAATGCTAATTGAAGGTGGCAAGAAACACAAGAAAATGGGGGAGTTGAATTGAGTTTCTAAAAATCAAAGCTTTTTCAACACCAATTCAATACACAAATGTACGAACAATAAAAATAACACGATATTTTTATACTCATTCATTGTTAACTAAACTACCTCTAGTACACGCTACCAAGGTGATTTCACCTTCTCAATAGGTGGGAGACAAAATTGTACAGTATAAATGTCCTTACTCCAAAAAATTCGCGTAGTGGAAGGAATGTTTTAATCTTGTGTTGTGTACCATTTATCTCACGTAAATCCTTTTGATCTTATCATTTAATCTTCAGAGGCTTCTGAATAAAGTTTTTTGAAGCATATTTAGAAGAGTCAAGGGCATGGTTGAGAAACTTCAGAACTTAAGTCTTCAGAGTCTTGACACTGTTCCTCAAAACCTTATTTTCAGTGTTTTCAACAATTTGTTCTTTATAATCTACAAAACTTGAGCACAAAATCTTGAAGGTAGACAATCCTTTAGAGGCTCTACAATCAAAGTCACAGTCAGAAGTTTTAACAAGAACGTTCTTCAGAACTGTTGTCTAAAAGCTTTATAGAACCTGACAACATCTTGTGAAGCACTTGTATATCTTTAGAATCAAAGTGTGTTGATTTCAAAATCTGATACGTCACACGTCAGAGCTTCAGAGTCAGGACCTGTTTATCAAAAAGCTACACACTAGACAAAAATCATTAGTGTATAAAATTGTTCTCTACGAAATATTGTATTGTTATCATCGAAACTAAATGATAGATGCAGAACCAAAACTTGTTCTCACAGGACATTCCTATCCTTTTTCTGAATACCTTTGAATACGGGACGTAGGATCCAGCTATTCAAAGTATTCACCTCCACTTATAGACTTTAGTACAATTGCAATCAAGACAAATTTTCATAATTAAAGGAAGAAAAAGGAGTATGATGTAGACCTTCTCTCCCCGAATGTCCAGACATTGCTGTAGAGCTCACTGTTTGAATATCCGTCTTCAGACTTAAAATAAATCACAACCAATCAAATTTATTTTTTTGTCTTAGGGTATCAAAAAGCTTTTTCCAAAGGACATGTTATTTTCGTTATACCGCAACACGAACAACGCTTAAATCTCTCACGCGTGAGTATACAAACAACATTTAACTACTAGAACGCGAACGTTAACATCGTTCAATACAAACAATCAACAAACACTTATTTTTTGCTCCACAAACTACAAAGCTTTGATTTTCTCATTGCACTATGGGAATACGTAGACACAAGATTTCGAAATCTTGGCTACACATTAATTAAAAACTTATTTTTCTCTTAATTAAAAACAATTGCAAGTACTTTAGATAATAACACTCATCCGCGCAAGAACAATTAAAACGGTTCCCGTTGAATACAACAAATGTAAATGGTGCTAATATCTTTCTCTTACATAACCGACTTCCGAATCCATTCTTGGTTATGACGACCATCTTCTTTATCTTTTATGGATTTTATCGATACTTTCCATTTTCTTTAAAATAAATAAAGTTCGATGGAATTGACAAAAAAAACCCTTGCATCTCACTTCAAATTTACTAATCATATCATTTCTTCAATTAAAGTTAAAACTCTACTAATCATAATTAAGAATGAGAAATATTACACAAATGGTTCTATTTTTCTCGACCATGTCTGATTATTTCTATAGCACCCGAAGTTTGAAGATATAATCTTATATTTAAGAATGAAAGTATTAGTATTTTGATTAGTTATAAAGAACAATAGAAATGTCGATATATTCATCTTCACTCTTATTTCCTTAGAATTACATAACATCATTACACAATGTGGTTTAACATCTATTCTATTGAGTATGCCACTGTGATGCAGATGAGACCTTCATTCAATCTGCCACATCTCAACTCAAAGGCAGGCCATAAACCAAAGATGCTGAGGCAAAAGGTCTGTTGGACTTGGAAGCTTTCAGGTGGTTTCATGAATCAAATATTAACTATGTGAAAAGACAGACAAATTGTTCTGCAAGTTGTCTAAGGCACAATGACATATTATAATTTGGTTTAAGTGACTACTGTAGGGTCAATTTTATTAAGAGACGAACTAATCGACATTCTAACACAAAAGGCCATGGAGTTATTATCATAATTTAAATGGCAGATTCGTCTACAACAAATGTGTCCAACCATTAATTATATGACTTATTTTAATAATCTTTTCTATAGTTCATCGTGATATTTCCGTTCTGCTACTGGCACCTCATGATGAAGTTTGACAAGATACTTCGCAGCTAATGAGGCGTGAAGTGCAGCGCCATAAGGAAGTGCATCTTCGTTGACTTTGTAATAGGGTGAGTGTGGCCCTGGAAGATGTTCAACGGAGACATCTTCCATTCCGAGGAGGAAGAAGTATCCAGGCAAAGCTTCTTGATAGAATGCAAAGTCTTCAGATCCCGTCTGTGGTTCCATTCCTTTGACTTTATCGATGCCAATCAGACTCCCAGCAACACTTTTAAAATAGTCATGCAAGTCGCCATTGTTTACAGTTGGAGGGATGATAGGCTTCTCTTCTTCCAAGAAGCTGACTGTTGCATTGCATCTCTGAACAGCAGCTTGTCCACTGATAACCTACATCAATGAAACAGCCTTAGCGCCTAACAGTGTTTCCATTTAAAGCACAAAATGAATCTATTGATATTCGTAATAGACCTGTTCAATGCGGTGTCTCAATTGATTGAAGCTTTCGCTTGAAAAAGCTCGGAAAGTACCACCAATTGTGACAGAATCTGGAATGACATTGAATGCACCACCTCCTTGAAACATTCCTACTGTCACAACCTGTAAAGTCATATAGGCCTCAGGTTTTCATCATATTCAAAATCATTGTAAACAAATTATATGAGGCAATCTTCAACATGAGTATTTAGCGAGTCATGAAAATATTCTTTCTTTGATAAGTTAGACCATGTCAAAGTAGAAGTCGCAAAAGAGGAAGTAAACAAAATTCTAATTCGCAGTTGGAAGTGAAAGCAATAAATGAAATAAGAAGTTTACCTGGGAGTCGAGGGGATCAACCTCGCGGGACACAATATGCTGTAAGCTAACAATCACATTCGAAGCTGCCAATATAGGATCTATTGAATGTTGAGGAAGGGCTGCATGGCCACCCCTGCCGCTTATTATTGCTTCAAATAAGCCACATCCTGCTGACATAGGACCAGACTTAGATGCCACTTCGCCTAGAGGTATGTCTGGAATGATATGCAATCCAAATATGGCAGACACATTTTCTAAGACTCCAGCATCTAAAATTTTCTTAGCCCCGGCACCTCCTTCTTCTGCTGGTTGAAAAACAAGAACAACAGTTCCCTATGCAAAATAAGGAACAATATCACGATTCAATAAACGGACGAAAACAGCAGAACAAGAAAATATACAATGGCCAAGTTTTCTTGATTATGTGATTGTTATTATTACAACAATAATGGATGCATTAAGTTATGTTTCAAAGATTTAAGTGGCATACCATATATTTTAGCTAAGATGACTGCAACATACACAGTTGGCATAATGAACACTCAAAATTTGGCATCAGTTTGCCAATATGGAAATGTCAGAAACAGGATTCATGTTTGAATTAAAAGCACAAATACATCATAAATTGCAAATGTAAACTGAAAATTCAGCTAGAAATTTTTGTTGTGAAACCATACTTGTAAATTATTTTCTTGCTGCTTTAGGATCTTTGCAGCACCAAGAAGCATAGCAACATGAGCATCGTGACCACATGCATGCATCTTCCCAGCTACTTTACTCTTATGCTCCCATTCCACCGATTCCTAATGTTAACATCAACAAAAACAAAAATCATCAGTAAAATATATGTGGAACAGTATCCAAAAATAGCAAAAATGGATTGAACATGGAAAAAGATTTTTTTTTCTTCATTTTTCATCAAACCCAGATAAAATTCATGATAAAAAATAGAAAAGCAAAACATTGAGAAAACAATAAAAAATGTAGACCTGCATGAGAAGAGCATCCATGTCAGCTCTGAGAGCAACAAAAGGAGGAAGACCAGTTCCTATGTAACCAATAACACCTGTTACAGCTACTGGATGTTTATATGAAATACCCAACTCATCCAATTTTGCTCTTATAAGCTTACTGGTTTCAAATTCTTCATAACCCACTTCAGGATTCTCATGAATCTTCCTTCTGATATCAACCATCCAATCAAAGACTTGAGGTTCCTTGGCTAAATCTAGAAAGTTTGGGATTGTATTTGAATCTGAGAAGATGGGTGTTGCAGTTAAAAAGCAACTGAAAATGATGATGAACAAGTTGATCCATTTGAAGGAAGCCATGAATAAATGGTGAGAAATGGAAAAGAAAGAACATAAGTTGAATGGAACTACATATTATCACAGCTCAGTAGATGTTATATATGTGCAGTGGGAAGGGACTAGTTGTTGAAGTATTAGTTCAATGACACATTAAAAAAAATCTAAAAATAAAAAATTTGTGTTAACAAACTCTAAATTTTTTTAACATGAGGCTGATGAGTTGTCACCTTCAACTTTTAAATTTTTTTAAAAATTTTAAAATTTTAAAATTATTAATCGACAAACAAACACTCCAAGTTATGTTTTTGTAACTCATGAATTATATTCCGCCCTTGAATCAGTAATAGACGAAAGACGGAGATCATCATCGTGAGAAGGCTTTTGATATAGTGGCTATAGTTTTCCGATGAATAGGGTGATGCTTGCAAAAGATTAGTACTTCAATGTTTAAGTCAACGTTTGAATGAGGTGAAATTTTGCAAGTGTATAAAAAGAATACTTGAGTGTGACTTAGGGTCATACTTATATAAAGGATGCAATTAGAACCGTTCTTAATTGGTCTAGCGCGGAGTGTGGACAACCGTTGGATGTGATCAACAATCGAGATGAAGAAGGAGGCTGTGCTCATATGTGGCGTTCAAAAGTGAAGACTAACTTCTGCGTCTTTGAATAAAGTGTTCGTTGTTGAATTGAGTCTATGAGATGGGTCGATCTTAAAGGGCCTTTATTCAGCTTGTAATAGATTTTAATTGTAGCATTCTTCAAAAACACTGAATCAATGCTCTAAATCTTACCATTCATGTAATCCACTTGTTAGTCTGAAAAAGAAGACATTTTTCACATTGTAACTAAGATGGAACCAAACATTGGAAAATATGTTGGGGCTTTATAGATTCTATTGAAAGTTCTAATTATTTTTCGTTTGATTAGGGATTAAACAGTTGAAAATAAAGTTGCAAAATCATGTGATTCATGTTGACAAAGTCACTTCAAACATAAGAGAGGTAATTGTGATATAATTTTTTCTTGCAACTTAAAAAAAACTTTAAGATTTATTGTAAGAAAATGGGGAAAGATATGAACATAGCTACAATAAAATATATAGATAAGAGATTATAGAAAAACACATTGTATTTTATTATGCTTCGGCCCAAAACTACGAAACCTACACCCAATTTTCAAGGAGTGACTCTTGAGATTTCTACTACCATAAAACTTTTGCAACAAGATCATCACACTACCTTCTTACACCATCTTTTCGCTCAAATTCAACATGAAACTTTTATATCAAAATATTATAGTTATGAGAACAATTGTCTCGTGATTACTATTATAAATCATCATCGCTTTACACATGATAACTCTACTTAAGTATTTTCTCTTTCAACACTAAAAATCAAGTATTTAAGTGAATATAAAATTTTAGAAGAGCAATGGAGTTAGTAAAAGAGAGATATTTATGACTTCTTATGTGTTTTCAAATGAACACAAACCCTCCTTTTATGGTAAAAAAATTGGCTAAGAAAAGAAAAGATTTCAGAACGAATTCGAGGTAATTGTGATATAATTTTTTCTTGCAACTTAAAAAAAACTTTAAGATTTATTGTAAGAAAATGGGGAAAGATATGAACATAGGTACAATAAAATATATAGATAAAAGATTATAGAAAAACACATTGTATTTTATTCTGCTTCGGCCCAAAACTACGAAACCTACGCCCAATTTCCAAGGAGTGACTCTTGAGATTTCTACTACCATAAAACTTTTGCAACAAGATCATCACACTACCTTCTTACACCATCTTTTTGCTCAAATTCAACATGCAACTTTTATATCAAAATATTATAGTTATGAGAACAATTGTCTCGTGATTACTATTATAGATCATCATCGATTTACACATGATAACTCTACTTAAGTATTTTCTCTTTCAACACTAAAAATCAAGTATTTAAGTGAATATAAAATTTTAAAAGAGCAATGGAGTTAGTAAAAGAGAGATATTTATGATTTCTTATGTGTTTTCAAATGAACACAAGCCCTCCTTTTATGGTAAAAAATTTGGCTAAGAAAAGAAAAGATTTCGGAACGAATCCACGCCATAATTGATTAGGTTGCGGCCATAATCGATTATAACCTAGAAAAATAGGAAATTTTTTGGTGGATTTAAACCATAATCGATTGGAAGATTAATTGATTATTGAATGAGTTTGACCCATAATCTATTAGACAAGTGTCATAATCAATTAAAGGGAAAATTTTCACTTCATAATCAATTAATCAAGCTCTCTAAATGATTATGCTTCGATTTAAAAAGGATTGGCCAAAAACAAGAAATTTTAGAAGATGTTTTGAAAAAAAATTATGTGTGTGCGTGTGGAGAGAGAGAGAGAGAGAGAGAGAGAGAGAGAGAGAGAGAGAGAGAGAGAGAGAGAGAGAGAGAGAGTAATTTAGTACTTTAAGAGTATACACTTAACTTTATATTTGATCCTATAATAAAATAAATAATATAGCAGGGCAAGGATCACAAGCAAACTTTTCATAATTGACTTTGTTTCTTAGTGAACCTCTTTAGTTTTTTATTAACATTTATAATTTATTATATTACTAGGGTTTAGTATTAAGTATATGGTCTTGGCCCAATTTTCTTTGTCATGTACTACTATTTTAACCTATTAATATAAATATGAGGGTCATTACACCTTGTAGTGCATTTGATTGATTATTCATATTCTTTCTCTCTTTCTACGGTATCTGGAGCCTACTAGGGTTCGCCGTCGAAAAAATATTTAAGAAAATATATTAAAAAAATAAGCTTACCAGTAACATAAGAGAACACCGATTTTTCTTGTTATAGAGGTGAAAACAATTTCGGCGGCCAAATCATGGAGAAATTTGCAAATTAGCAAAATCACTGTTTTTAAACGTTTTTTGTGCATGATTCGAAATGTGCATTTTCGGAAGCAGATGGGTTGTGATTTTGGGAAAATTAAGTCTTTTTTTAGATTTGATAGAAGTTTGGCAGATTCAGCGGCTATTTCTGACATTTTGGTGATGTTCTACATTGATATAGTGTATTTTTTGCAGTTTCGAGTCAAAATCGTGTGTGTTGTTGTTTTTTTTGGTTAAACAATGTCAACATAAATTAAAAATAACATGGAAAACAGTTCTAAGAAGCATGTTACTGAGTTTACTACTACTTCCACAAAATTCACTGACATCAAGCTTGATGGGGATGGTGATCAAAACTATGTTGAGTGGAATTATCTAGTTGAAGTTAGTCTCAGAGGAATGGGAAAGGATGAATATTTAACATCTGCATGTCAGAGGAAACAAAAGCAGCAACAAGTTGAAATACATAGATAAACATATTTTGGCCTTACTTTTGAATTATGTTAATAGGAGAGTTCAATCGGTTATTACTCACTACAAGACTATGAAAGAGTTGTGGGGGTTTTTGGAATTTATTTTTGGTAAATCTGATAATCTAAATCACATTATGTTATTCTATAAGAGATTTCCCCCCTAATTAGGATAAGCGTAAGTTGATGGATTACTTTTTAGAGTTTAAGAAATATAGAGAGGATTTAACTTCTCTTATAGCGTGCAAATATGTCGAAGAGATGTTAACCCAATAAAAGAAACTTATAGCCTTGAGTTAGCTTTCTGGTTTTAATTCAGAGTATGAGGTGGTTCGATCCCAATTTTTTTCAAATAAGCATGTTGATACCCTTACTAATATTTTCATTCGGGTTACACATTCATCCTTTATGGAATCACGACCTACTACTATAGAAAATGATTCCTCTGACTACTCAGCTTTAGCTGTGATATCAGGAGGTTGCGGTGGTTTTCATAATGGAGGTAGAAGGGATGTGGTGGTCGTGGTGCTCTAGTCTAGTGCTTTAGTTGTGGAGAATTTAGTCACTATTTAAACTGTTGTCCCCATGAACAAGTTAATCCTTGCTTCGCTAATACATTGTATCAACCTGATCTCATGCCTTCACAAAATTAAGGGTATAAAATAGTTATGAGTGATGAAGAATTTAATAGATATACATTGTTTCAGATTTCCCAACAACCATATCTACCTTCCTCCACAACCATATTTTCCAAACAAGTAATTCTAATACGTGTTTATCCTCTTCTTCTCTACATTGGGTTATTGATTATGACACCAGTGATCATATAATAGGGGATTCAGGTATCTTTTTCCTCTTTCAATTATTCCAACAAGCATTCTTATGTTACCCTTGCTGATGGTTCAAAAGTCCATGTTAAAGGAAGTGGGTTTTCTACCCCAGTTTCTACCTTACCTTTGTCATTTGTCTTATATTTACCTCAGTTCCATTGTGAACTTATTTCAATTAGTCAAATCTAGTTCGTTAAAATGTTCTGTGACTTTTTTCTCGACTTTTGTGTGTTTCAAGATCTGTTGACACATATGGCTATTGATAGTGGAATAGTATCTAATGGGTTGTATCTGCTTGAAAAAGGACTTTCACAAGCATTAACAACTTCCAAAATATGTAGCATGACATATTTTCAACTTCATTATTGACTTGGACATCCATCTTTATGAGTTCTTAAAGATTGTATCCCTAGTTATAGTCAATATTGAGTCTGTATTGTGCGTCGTGTAAGTTTACTTAGCATCATCGTAGTGTTTATTTGCCTCGTCAAAATAAAAGGGCTCAAGCATTGTTTGACATTATTCATTATGATGTTTGGGGTTTCCCAATAACCTCAAAGTTTGGTTATAAATATTTTGTTACTTTTGTTGATGACTATTTCCGTGCGACTTGGTTATATATAATGAAATCTAGATCTGGGTTATTTACTATATTTTACAATTTTTGTGTTTAAATTCGTTCTCAGTTTAATTGTCATGCTCACATTCTCCAAAGTGAAAATGCCAAAGAATATTTTTCTACACAATTTTTAGTACTCTCATGAATCAACATTGCATGACTAACCAATCATCTTACATTGTCACTCCACAACAAAATAGAGTTGTTGA